TTCATTTTTGCTAAAATAATTTTTCAAACAAATGAAAACAAATATTTTGGTACAACATTCTTGATGTTACAATTCTTGAAAAAAATCGGAAAAAACAAGTCATTGCTAATGACACAGTCCCCGTCCAAAATGTGATGCTGATGAAGTCATTGAGATTAGATTGAAACCATTAATAGGAGATCGATTTGTAAAAAATTATGATTTTAAATTAAATTGGACATTTGGCAGTCATATTGAACCAAATTACAAAAATAATGTTCATGTTGATATATCTATTGGTATACTGTCTTTGTACAAAATTGAAACAGAAATGTTCATTGTATTCATGGGAAAGTAGGCATGGGTATCATGAAAAACAAAATGGCCACCAGTCAGCCGAACAAGCATTTTGAAATGCATCATCCTCGTTGTATATTGATTCAAAGACCATTTAATAAGTATATAATATTACACAACAATTGTCATTGTTTCTACATCTTTGTCCCTAAAGAGAGAATTTAAATTTAGTTCAGTTCTTAAAATGCTATGAGACAACTTTATTGTATTTACAGGTACATGCGTCATAATACCATAAATTATACCGGTACTGTGAATCCTTTAATTTTCACTGGTAAAAATGTTCGTGAGTTCAGGATTGTGAAGACACAATATCATGAAAGTCACAGGATTCCACTGTCCACAGAAATTTTCAAAATTGTTTAAATACGTGTTGCTATAGTTTTTAAGGAACTCAATTAACAGTGTGATGATTTTCTTTTTTCAGTTGAATACCTTATGTAATCCATGACGACAATAAAGTGATTATTATAAAGACTTAAATAAATAAAATTAAAGGTGTCAGGAAACAAGAATTTGATTGTGATTACCGTTTGGTCTAACAGAGGTACATTTAAAGGGTGGCAGTCATTGCGCTGCGCATGTGCAACATTTGTGCTGATAAATATTGATTTTCCCACAATCCAATGCGATCTTCTAATGGGAATCACAAGCACAGTTGTATGAGGTTTGACCTGGACGGACCTTGCACTAATTACCGACAATGACTCCTTCGATATTTTCCAATCACCTAAAAAATTAAAGCTTGGTAACAGTAAAAGTCACCATCTTTGTTTATACGAGACCCATATATCTCGCGCATGCGTGATGCGATGACTACCACCCTTTAAATGAAAACATATATAGCTGAACTATAGACAATGCCTTTACAAATCAAAAGGACATGCATCAACCTCCATGGTTATTCTCTCCACCAAATTTGAAGAAAATTGACCAACACATGCCCTAGATTCTGGACTGAACATGTCAAAATACCTGTGTTTTTTTTTACAACTAAAATGGTCAACAGTCGGCCATCTTTGATCACATGACAAATCATTGTATGTGCATACATGTATGTATGAAGTGCTCCAGAGGACGCACACATAAAGACTAAATCATACATTTACAGTTTGGAATTTGTCTACACATCGGAATACACATCAGTTGATTTTGGTCACCATAGTTACAAAGTAGACTTTGTTAGTAAAATCTACTCAAGTGGATCGAAATCTGCTTCTGAGACTGAAAATTTGTTACCTTTTGTATAAAATAGGCCTGAAGATTCATAAAATGATTTTGTCTGACGATGTTCGGACAGGAGAATGATCCAAACATCTTCCGGAACATCGACATCATAGCAGTATGTCCTGTCCAAGATGCTGTCATTTCATTCGCTACCTGAAATACAAAAACAACAATTCTAAAATTAAAACTACTTTATTGGAAAAGTTAAAAATAGAACAGAGCAAAATTAAAAACTGTTCTTTTTCACATCTTTATTAACTATTATAATAATTTTTTTGTAAACATTACAAGAAATAAACATAATTTCAATGTTAGCAAATAACACAGAATGAACGGCATGGTAAATACTACTGTAACATCAAATCAAAGTAAACACGCACTGCATGCGTGACTCAAACCGGCACTCACGTACTGCACCTAATTTTAATGTTTATGATTAGTTTCGCATAACATACCTTTGCTAAGCAATGTGTGGCTTCCATTCTGACTTTATAGAAACACTGTTCATTTTCAATGATATCAGATAATGCTACTCTGGTGGCCGTACTTGGGAACAGTCCAAGGGCAGAAATAGCCTAAAAATAAACAAAAATACGTAAAGTGATTCCACATCTAAATACCAAGGTATTTACAAATATTTAAACATAATTTTTCTCATTTTTTCAGTGAAAACCAGCATGCCAATCTCATTTCTTTTCCAGAGAATGGATTATATCAGCAATTCTCAGAAGTATTAGGGCAGCCAGAGTGGGCAGCAGCAGAGTGGGCGAGATTCAAAATCCAACTGTTTACTGGTAGTCACAACCCAAGCAGTAAGCCATGTCGTTAGTGAGGTTGCCAATTGGCTGCCCCAATACTTGTAATACTTGCTGCAACAGTCATCATAGCAACAATATAGATTTTGGACAACTGTGATTTTGTACCTCCGACTGGGCCACAACATCTCGTTCGTATCTCAACTGATATTGCCATTGGTAATCGGGCTGTTCAAACGTGACATGTCTTATCGTCGTCATCTCAGGATCAATACGAATCCATAAACATGGTGAATCAGCGCTGTAATAAATGAACACAGAAACAGAAAATGAAAACATTCTACAACTATTAGTACAGTGCTTGTGAATCACAGCTGAGCATCTCACCAGGAATCAAGTACAAAAATTAACGACAGCAGAGTATTAAAAATTAATTCAAAAATTAAGATTAGCCTTTTAAACAAGAAGCTTGGCAATTAATATTTGTCTGCTATTTAACATGTCCAATGTGAAAACAATTTGATTCACACAATTGACGTTTATAATATTAACAGAAATTAAATTTGATAGTACCACCTATACCCTAAATTCAATTTAAATCTGATTTTTTGAGATATCAGAAATTGGCTGATAATAAATAGATAATCAATATGCATGGTTTTCAACATTAAACTAATCTGTGGATTACACCTGAGCATTAAGGTACCAAATTCGATGAAATGTGATGAATTTTGCATATTTCCAAATTGAAATGCAATAATTGGTTTTTGAGATATACATGTAGGTAGAAAATTGGTTAATTATTATGCAAAGATTTGAATCAAAAACTGATCAAATCCATTGTCCTGGTGGAAAGCCAAAAAGGTAAATTGACTTATGCCTGGTGGTAAAATCAGTGGTGACAAAGCGAAATCAGTGACATAATGAATCAAATTGTAAATTACAAATAAAAGAATATACATATGAACACTAAAGTATTATTTCTGTGCCACTCATACATGACAGAGAAAATTTGCACTTACTCCATTGCACTTAGGTCCATATCAACTTCTTCACCATTTGCCAGGGGGATCTTTTTCTTCTTGTGTCTTTGATAAAAAAACACAAAAAAGATGACATAAACAATAAAGGTAACAGATAATAAATACTGAATAGCAATTGTGTGATGAGTGGCAATGTTACGATGAATTGCCACGTCTTGCATCCCATATCCCATGGAGCAACTTGCTGCACATTTTTTCTAAAAATTTTTAAATGGTTAATTTTGAAGCAATTTTCCATTGCCAACAGAATTTCTGAATAACAAATATGGAAACAATTTTGAAGAATTGTTTTGTGAAAGTTGACAAAAGTTGAAGGTTGGTTGTGGCATAATAGTACCATGATAGTGCCTTAAACTGCCATAATGTCATTAGGATAGGAAAATTGCTACAAAAATCTGTCCCACTCTGTAATATAATCTCTGTTTCAAAATGCACTATATGTCAGTACTCGCACTTGGAAAGTACACATAATGTCCGGAACTGTCACCTCGCACACAAATATTGAAAAAAAAAAAGTATTCACATCACGCCATGTTTGATATGCAACTTATTCAACAAGTGTACATTATTTGTTTAAATTTGTTAACACAAAACAAGATCTACACAATAAAGCAGCAGGTGATGCATTAATAAAACCGAGTCAATATTGGCCAAAAATTAAATGCCATTATACTTTATATGTCCAATTCTATTCTCACCTTCTACTTTTTGAGTGACATGTCATTTCATGTTTTGTGCTGTTTTCTTCTATCTGTACATTGTGATTGAATGAGCCATCTAACTCTTGTATTGTGACTTGTAATGGTCCCTACACAATAGAAGAATATTCTTTATTAAAACTGTAAAGATAATGTGACAATTGTTGGAGTTAATATTTTACAGCGGGCGCAAAGATATTTACATACATCTATCTTGTTTAGATTAACTGTTATGTAGGCAGGTATACAACTTGCTTGTGTCAATTTATTTATTCAATAAAATCAATCAAATTTAACACAAGACATTCAATTAAAATATCTTGTCCAGGTAAGTTGGTAAAACTCACAACATATTTCATGACGCCTTTACTCGTCAGATCTTGCTTGAGTTCCATCTCTACGATATTCCTCTTCCTGTTGAACACAAAGCTACCATGGAAACGAACACATCCTCCCTGATACACCCATTGGTCCATCAGAGTCTTCAAATCCTTACCCGACACGGTTCCAACAGACTTGAGAAACTAGAAAAATAGAGAGTATCATAGCTATTTATTGTTTGCTAAATATTAATACTTTTCATAATTGTATTTCAACATAATTTTGCACAAATACAAACCAAACAAACACTGTTATCATAACAAATTGTTTGGTGATGCCATTTGTTAAAGTAATTCTGAAATTCAGTAACGAAAAATTAAAAAGGAAGAAAAATAAGATTCAGACCTAAATCATTTTACCTGAAAAACTTAAGTATATTTTACAAATTATAGAAAATTGCATGAAAGCAAACACAAATATGTGTGTCATTCTCATGAAATGAACAGAAGAAGACTTGACCTACAATTGCCATGACAGTTAATCACAAGGAATAAAAGGAACAAGACAAATTTTATTATTATTTGCATAATCTCACCCCATTGGTAGACAGCAGCATGTTTGACCAGGTGTTACTCTGGAACTTCTGCTGAGCTGCAGAAGATGCCAATGACAATAATTTATTCAGAGCCTGAAGAGAAAACAAGCAAATGAAATTAAATGTTAAATATGATAAAAAATTAATAAGCCTGTAAATATTATAATCCTACAACCGAATGGAGAAAATGTTTGACACTGCAGCAGAAAAATCACAGCAAAATCATCAAATAAATTAATATTTAAATTAAATTGTGGCGTGTGAAGCATGGAAGCTGTAAATTCTCGATAAATTACGGTGACTACGAGTGAGATGCCAGTTTCCGCCCTGACTTCAAAATGTAAACAACTCTGTCAAAAAGCATGCCTTGTCGATTGACTGCTAAGTCCAAATAATCAAATCGATTGACTCGGGCATTAATCATGGCGATGTTTGTAGAAAATTAATTAATAATGTAACTTTCTAGGATTAACTGTGACTTTATAGGACATCAGAGAATAGTTCACTGTGACTTCCGAGGACCTCAGAGAATAGTTTACTGCGACTCCCTAGGACTCCAGAGAATAGTTCAGTGTGACTCCCAAGAATCCCAGAGAATAGTTCACTGTGACTCCCAAGGACCCCAGAGAATAGTCACTGTGACTCCCTAGAACCCCAGAGAATAGTTCACTGTGACTCCCTAGAACCCCAGAGAATAGTTCACTGTGACTCCCGAGGACCCCAGAGAATAGTTCAGTGTGACTCCCTAGAACCCCAGAGAATAGTTCACTGTGACTCCCGAGAACCCCAGAGAATAGTTTACTGTGACTACCTAGAACCCCAGAGAATAGTTCACTGTGACTCCCAAGAACCCCAGAGAATAGTTCACTGTGACTCCCAAGGACCCCAGAGAATAGTTCACTGTGACTCCCAAGAACCCCAGAGAATAGTTTACTGTGACTCCCTAGAACCCCAGAGAATAGTTCACTGTGACTCCCAAGGACCCCAGAGAATAGTTCACTGTGACTCCCAAGGACCCCAGAGAATAGTTCACTGTGACTCCCAAGAACCCCAGAGAATAGTTTACTGTGACTCCCTAGAACCCCAGAGAATAGTTCACTGTGACTCCCTAAGACCCCAGAGAATAGTTCAGTGTGACTCCCAAGACCTCAGAGAATAGTTCAGTGTGACTCCCAAGACCTCAGAGAATAGTTCAGTGTGACTCCCAAGACCTCAGAGAATAGTTCACTGTGACTCCCAAGAACCCCAGAGAATAGTTTACTGTGACTCCCTAGAACCCCAGAGAATAGTTCACTGTGACTCCCTAAGACCCCAGAGAATAGTTCAGTGTGACTCCCAAGACCTCAGAGAATAGTTCAGTGTGACTCCCAAGACCTCAGAGAATAGTTCAGTGTGACTCCCAAGACCCCAGAGAATAGTTCAGTGTGACTCCCAAGACCTCAGAGAATAGTTCAGTGTGACTCCCAAGACCTCAGAGAATAGTTCACTGTGACTCCCGAGGACCCCAGAGAATAGTTCACTGTGACTCCCAAGAA